ACGGACAGTTCATTTGTACATTCTGGAGGTGAAGTGTGAGGGCAAAACATTTGCTCTTGCCCTGTCGGAAATGAATAGAATCATAGGGTTTTTCCGAAACTTCTGTATGGAGCTGTCCGCGGAGCTGGGCTTTCTCCGAAAAGTTCCGGAACTTGAACAACAATGCATGCTTCACTATCAGGAAACCAAGAAAAAAAGGTTTGCAACCAGTAAAAAATGAGGATAAAGTGACCCCCTTCTTGTTTAGCTCAGTTTTCATAATATTAAGGGTAATTAACCTACAGGATATAGCTCAAATGAGCTCGAAGCAGAGTTTTCTCCATAAAATTTCAGAGCTAATTGGCTGAGCGATAGCGAAGCCTGTTACTTCAGTGGGGTTGAAAAGTTTTGTCTGTCTGTCTGTGTGTCTGTCTGTCTGTCTGTCTGTGTGTCTGTGTGTCCGCACTACTCCTCCTGAACGGCTCGGCCGATCTCGGTGAGACTTTGCACACTTCTTGGGTATGTCCTTGGCTCGGCACTCGCGAAATTTCACCATCCTAGCTCAACTGGTTCAGTTTTTATAGCCGAAAAACACCTAAAAAACGGCGAAAAATCGAGCTTTCTGCAGATAGATCACTTCTGGCTTGGAGAAAGGGGGGTCTGGAGGGCGGAGCCCCCCAGCCTTAACAAGTTAAAAAGTGACAAGGGTCAAGGTCGTGTTATCTGTAGATAAAACAACTCTATTTAGAATGTAGGGGGGTCTGGGGGGCGGAGCACCCCAGCATTCAAAAAGTTAAAAAATAACCGACAATGGACAAGCCATTGCCGGCCGCAGGCAGGCTAGCGCCGCAGGCCAAGGTAGGTACGCCACACAGTAAATTGAAATGGCAGAATCTGTAGTGGTCTGAGAGCCCCAAATCGCAGAAACCGACAGGTAAATAGATCCGGGGCGGTTTTGCACCAAAACCGCCAACGGCGAACCCATTCTGCACACAGGCGACGGAATCCGTGCACTCGCCACGGAATCCGGACAACACTGCACCGTAATCGTCAATTGCGATTCCCTCCACCTCGCGACTTTGAGATGTTATATTATTGGAAATAAAGAGTGTAGATGTACCGCGTAAGGAAAGTATTAATTTATAGACTTGTCAAAGCAAGAAAAAGTATGCACACTCATCAAAATATGTAAATAATGTCCAAAACAACAAAAGCATCCAGAGATACAGTGAGGTTAGGTTGGCCAGCGAGACCGCAACCCCTTAGCAGTTTCTGTGAGCCCATCCCAGATTCTGTGGAGCCTTTGTCAGTTTCTGGTAGCCCATGCCAGTTTCTGTGACTACCAAATTCAGAATCATTTACTGGCGGTTTCTGTGCCGAACCGTTACGGATTCTGCCATTTCAATTTACTGTGCAGGCGTGGATTGGAGGAACAGGCAGCGAGACATCGCGAAGCCTGTTACGACAAGACGCGGTCTGGCGTAAACCTACCTTGTTAATAACAGTGTGGTCTAAGCCTGTATGCAGCGATGTTAGCTTGTTTCATATCATCGGCCTGAAAGTCGCAAAGCGTCTCTAAGCGGCATTGCGAGTCGACCTAACGTAAAGTTGTTGCTGTGTTCCGTTGCAGGCGGGACAGGGGCGCTCGCCCCAGGTGCGCTGCCTGGGGCTGGGCTCCCTGGACAGGGCGGCGTGTATGGACGTCCTCAAATCGTGGTTCAGCTACCTGCAGGTGCTCTACAAGTTGCGTCAGTGACGCTAAAGAACAGAGACAAAATGCAATTGTAATGTTAGCATTTTTTTTTTTTTGCAATAAAGCAGCAAACCAACATCAATGTTGGCTGAGCGATAGCGAAGCTCGTTCCTCGAGTGGGGTTAGAAAATTTTGTCCACCGTGAGAAAAATGTACGGTATCTGCCGTCAATATATCAACAGGATTTGCCGTACTTAGAAGTACGGTGTTTACCGTACCCGAGCGTACCTACAGCGTTTTCCGTACCCATTGATGTACGGTGGTTGCCGTACCTGGAATAGAGATGCAAATTTTCCGGAAACTTCCAAAGGGTCGGAAAAAAAACGGAAAAGTTGAAAAAAAAAAAAACAGAAAATTTGGAAAAATGGGAAAAATTAGTTTTTAAGCACTGTGAACATGAAACCTACTACTTTTGTGCTTTGTTACAACTTTACTTATACTGACAACCCGACATTCACAACAGCAAGCTCAAAAAACGCACGAGACGGAATCATAACAGGGTATAAGTAGTTTGAGTGCACTGAGAATCGTGTTCACATAGGGTTAAAGGTATGCTTTTAGCCTACTTTCAGGCGAAATGCCCGACTTTTTGCCTACTTTTCGGGCTGAATCTTTCCAATTTTTCCGAGGCCAGGGAAAAAAACGGAAAAAACCCTTTTTTTTTTCTATGTTTCCGGAAACTTTCCGGGCATTTTCATCCCTAACCTGGAAGTACTGCGTTTACTGTATTCGCAAGTACGGCGTTTACCGCACCTGAAAGTACGGCGATCACCTTAATTTGTACAATGCACTTGTCAAGAGGCACTCATTTCTTGACATCAAAGTCAATTTAGACGATTGTGGTAACCGTGCTCAGCCTTCTAGATACTTCAGCTACTGCGCGTTTAATTTCTCATAGCTGCTCGGTCCACCCCCCTCCCCTAACACTCTCAAGCTACTGGCAGCTCCGGAACTCAGTACCAACGCAGCCTTTGCCCAGTGAACCCTGAACCTTTCCCTGAACCCTGAATCGTTCCCCTGAACAACGGACATACGAGGGGTGAATCACTAGTGTACTCATGTGTACCAATTTGCCCGTACTCAGTGTACTCACAAGTTTCAAAAAGGCGAAATTCTGTAGTTTTTTGACCGATTTTACGTCGAGTGCCGTTGAAGGCACGAAATAAAGCCTAAAAACGTTTAAAATTATGAAATTTGTGAGCAAAACAAGGTGTACTCACCCGTATTCATGTACTCATGTGTACACCAGAACGCCGAGTGATTCACCCCTCGGACCTCGCGGACATAGCACATTGGGCAATCCCGCTTCCGGCCGACGCGGCGCCCGATTGGCGGCATTTTCGAACCACACCGCCACACTGGGGGCGGAAAGTTCGAGTATGTTCTCTTGGGGCACTCACGGAAGTTGCAATTAAACACGTCCTTGTTTAACAAGGACCGGTCACCTCAGCTAAGGGTCTTGGCCCCTGGTCCTTAGGGAGACCCGTCTGGCTAAGGTAGCTCCTTAGCCAAGCGTTTGTTTACACACTGTTGGAAAAAACCACAGTAAATCCTGTAGTGATTAGTACAGCTGTCACTGTAGTTCAGATTACAGGATTCACTGTACTTTTTTACAGGATCTACTGTACTTTGTACGGGATTTACTGTACCACAGAAGTGGAGTGCGGAATATCCTGTACCAGGTACAGTAAATACTGTAGCCAGGCACAGTAAATCCTGTGTTCTGAACTACAGTAAATCCCGGCAAAAAAATTAACGGGATTAGCTGTTGTTTTTAGGCACAGTGCATGGCGGCCATGTTGAGCCTATAACCTAATTATACCGACGCTTCACGATCAACAGACGAATTTAACCGACTAAAGGTAGTTAAAATTCATAAAATACCACGGTAAAATGTGCGATTTTTCCATTACGAGTGCTCGTTGCTCGTTTGCCTCTGGATGATCTGGTTCATTCACGTTCGTGAAATATGTGGTCGGCTGAGGGAGCGCCGTAGCGTAAACGTAATCCAAATTTCTTTCAGCAATCCTTCCTTCTTTTCGAAAAGCGAGTACAGAATCGGGTTCAGCGTTTATTTTTACGTGGGAAAACATGTTACATTGTGTTTTATTAGCTTATTTTCTGAATTCCTACAATTCGCAAATGTGAGGTTAAAAATGGCTGAACGCACTGGGCTAGTGGCTAAGGAGCTACCTTAGCCAGAGGGGTCTCCCTAAGGACTAGGGGCCAAGAACCTTAGCTGAGGTGACCGGTCCTTGTAAAACACGACGAAGTTTTTACCGTGTGTATTCCTAACGCTAGGGAGACCAATCCAACGCACGTGAACTTTTCGAAATGTGTGCGTTTAGAGGGTAATGGCCCTCCTTAACATCAGAAACAAACCCCACGTCGATATCTGCGCTCGTTTGGGCACAGGAGTCACACAGTAAATTGAAATGGCAGAATCTGTAGTGGTCTGAGAGCCCCAAATCGCAGAAACCGACAGGTAAATAGATCCGGGGCGGTTTTGCACCAAAACCGCCAACGGCGAACCCATTCTGCACACAGGCGACGGAATCCGTGCACTCGCCACGGAATCCGGACAACACTGCACCGTAATCGTCAATTGCGATTCCCTCCACCTCGCGACTTTGAGATGTTATATTATTGGAAATAAAGAGTGTAGATGTACCGCGTAAGGAAAGTATTAATTTATAGACTTGTCAAAGCAAGAAAAAGTATGCACACTCATCAAAATATGTAAATAATGTCCAAAACAACAAAAGCATCCAGAGATACAGTGAGGTTAGGTTGGCCAGCGAGACCGCAACCCCTTAGCAGTTTCTGTGAGCCCATCCCAGATTCTGTGGAGCCTTTGTCAGTTTCTGGTAGCCCATGCCAGTTTCTGTGACTACCAAATTCAGAATCATTTACTGGCGGTTTCTGTGCCGAACCGTTACGGATTCTGCCATTTCAATTTACTGTGCAGAAGAAACAAAATTATCCCGAAACGTGAGAATTGCTCAGGTACCTTGTCTCGCTACACACCAAAATTCACATATCTCAATTCCTTCATTTATAGTAATCCAAAAACACTTCATAAGGGCTGAAAAGGGCACGGTTTGTCACAAGATCTGTTTATTATTTCATGAAACTAATCATACTTTCTACAGAGCGGACCTAAACAACATCAACGACAACTAATTATTTTACTATAACATGCGGAAGTACACAGCTCTACAGGGCACAACGCAAATCCTATACCAACTATTCGCACACGATAGGCCAACTATCCCCACTTGATGTCGATCTCATCGACGACCTGGCCGTCGTCAGCGGCATCCTGGTGCGTCAGTTCGCAACGCGCCTCCTTGGGGTGGGTGAAGATGACGCACCAATAGGCGATGCATTGGTGACACTTGTGGCTCGCGCAGAAGTGGCAGTAGCGGTCGTAGCACCCAGGGAGGTCCCTGACGACGACGTGCAGGCGCGGCTTGCCCCGCATCACGTCGTGCAGCTGCTGGGAGTGCGCCCACTGGTGAGCGCACTCCAGGGGCGCGCTGACGACCAGCTCCAGGAGGCCCGGCAGCACCGCCACACAGTGGGCTGAGAAGCAAAAAAAGCGATAAAAATTCTAATCGACGTCAAAATTGCTACTCGGGGGTTTTTGGGTCCGAGAAACTCAAATCTGACGAAATCAAAACCCGAAAACGACCGGCAGGGGGCGGATCCAGCATTTACGGGAGGGGGGTGGGGGAGTCATTTAGAAAATGCGTCCCTGAAGATTTTGGGTCCCCGAAAATCATATATGACAAAATCGAAACCAGCAAACGACCGGCGACAGCAGCCAGCCGCCCGGCCGGCCCGGGCGGGAGACGAAACTTGTCATCTTTGACTGCGATTTTCTCAAAACGCGGAACAGGGCGGAACAAACGGCGAAAAGGGCCGTAAAGAAGAGATGCTGCTCTGTCACCTCCATGTGACAGATCGGTTCGCAAACTTTCGCAACTCAACTTATCGCCTCGCAAAAATCACAAATTCGTCGATTTTGCAACATCTTTGACGGCGTGTTTCTTCCACCCGGTTAAACCAATCATAAACCTTTGGTATTGTCCAGATTTGTGGGGCCTTCAGCTTTCCAAAAACATATAACATGATACCGTTATGTGGAATAGGCCGACCCCCAGAAGGAAAATTGTTCACAATTGTAGGATGTGTTAAGAAATAGGTCGATATTTGCCATGTTTGGCGCCCTGCACAGCGTCCCGCGTGTGATATATTTTCAAACGGACTCGTGTCACGGATAGGGCATGCTTTTCTTATGGATATGGCACAGTTTGTTTGACCTTCCTGTTCAATTTTCAAACTGCCCTTTATTATCGCTTTTTTCGCTTCTCAGCCCACTGTGCGCCAGGGACTCGAGGAAGGCGGCGGAGGGGACGCCGCCGACGTCGAGCTTGGTGAGGTTCAGCAGGCGGGGCATGACGGCCGCCAGGCGCTGCAGCAGCGCCGTGGGCTGGGCGTCGAAATGGTGAGACAAGGTGAGGCTGCGCAGCGCGGCGCGCCCCTCCCCCTGCGAACCCCCCAGGCACAGCACCAAGTCCAGCGCTTCCTCGGACGGGTTCTGGTTGAAGGCGAGCTTCAGGTGCTCCAGGCGAGCGGCTGCCGAGAGGAGGTACGAGCTGAAGCCAGCGAGCCGAGGCCGCGTGTCCACGTCGTTGTCGAAGTCCACCTCCAGACTCTGCAGGGACGGACACTGGAGCAGCGCCGCCATGCCCACCAGCAGGCCGCAGCACAGCGAGCGCAGGCGGGGCAGCGAGGAGAGCAGGGGGGCGAGGCGTGGGTCGTCCGCAGTCACCGACACTACCTGGAGGACAGGCAGACAGCCCACTGGTCAAATAAGAGCGTCACTCCACACTGGGAGAAAAATGTTTGGGTCAAGCGTACACACTTAACGTTCATGTAGAATTTTGTACGTGCCACTTGGACGATTTAGGGCATGCGGGGGGAATTTGCATAATATTATGCCTAAAAATAAATAAATTTATGTGAATTTCTGCAATGCAAAACGTCACACAGGTTTAAAATCGTGGATCACGAGGTACAAAACTCTACATAAACATTTAGTGTACACTCTCTGGTAAAACGAAGGCGTGAATCGTTTAATGCCTTTGAAAAGGCATTAAAATTTTGCATAATAGTCGTATATAATTCACGCTGCGTCCTTCCCAAGAGCATCAAACGATTCACGCCCTTGAAGGGCGTCAAGGACTGTTGATGCCTTAAGCGGCTTAGTTCTTAGGCCTGTTTCGCCTTTGTCGCTGTATGTGTATTCACAGGATTCGCCGTACTCAGAAGTGCAGCGTTTACTGTACTACCTAGGAGTCAAGCGTTTGCATAATTTGTGAGTAAGGCGTTTACCGCACCTTGAGGTATGGTTTGGTGTACTTTATAACTTTGTTCAGTGCATTTGTCGAGTGACACCCATTTACTTGAAGCAAAGTCAATTTGGACCGTTTCGAAAAGTCACAGAAAATTTTGCGAATGGAATTCAATGCAACATCTTCACAACACAATACAAACTACGGTTAACGCTGTCCTTCCATCTACAGTAAACGTTGTACTTCTAGGTGCGGTAAACGCTATACATCGCGATACGGTTTGCGCCGTTCTTCTAAGGAAAGCAAATCCTGTGAATAAATTAACGGCGAAAACCGTACATTTTTCTCACAGAGGACTGATAAAACAAAGGCATAAAAACTAATCCCTTTAAGGGGAGGTTCTACTGAAAATCTTACTTTCTTCAAATTGAGTCCCATTATCAATATTCATTGTAAATTTAAAGTATTTCATAGTAAATAGTTAAATTTGAAGTTTGGAGAGCAATACCTAGCCCCCAACCCAGTCGAAGAGGAATTTTGTGCTATTTCCAGTCGTAACTTGAAAAATTCTCCTACGCAAAGTATTTCAACGTAAACTGATGTTCTGGGCATTTTTCACTTCTTTGGTTCATAATTGATAAACCGTGGCATTAGTAAGATACTGGGACCATTACAAAACCATAAGCTGTGTTTTTAAGACAGCATGTCAATAAAATTTCAAGAAAATGTTAAAATTTCTGATATTTTAGTGACTTTTTTTCTGAAAAGCAACGACAAAATAAATTTGTTGGGTCCCATGTCTTGGTGATGCCACGCTTTATTGCATATGAGCCAAAGAAGTGAAAAATGTCCAGAACATCAGTTTACGTTGAAATGCTTTGCGTAGGAGAATTTTTTAAGATATTGCTACAATAGGCTGAAAAAACCTCTTCAACTAGATTTGGAGGGAGGTATTGGGCTCTAAATTTCATGTTTGACCATTAACTATGTATTACTACACATCTGCAACAAATTTTTACACTGGGTCTCAATTTGAAAAATGCAATATTTTCAGTAGAACCTCCCCTTAAGGCATGAACAGTCTTTGACGCCCTTGGAGGGCGTGAATCGTTTGATGTTCTTGGGAGGGTCGTAAATGGTACAGGACTACCAGGCAAAATTTAAATGCCCTTCCAAAGGCATTACGATTCACGCCGTTCAAGGGCGTTACTTAGTTTTACCAAGTGTATACTTGACCCAAGCACAGGCGGAGAAGGTTTTAAGCACAAGGAACACCCTATTACCTCCAGCGTGGCCGCATGCCATTCCAGGAGCAGCGACAGAAAAGGATTGAGCTTGTCGTCAGACCACTTGAGGTTTTTTAAAGACGCCGGCACTGGAACTGCGACCAAAAGGTCCGGCAGCGGAGGAATGAGGCTTGGACAGTGTAAGGGGGAGATGTGCAGATACTCCAATCCTGGAAAGATAAGGAGCATGAAGTTACCTTCCAGCGGTAAAAGCAGAACTCCGAGACGCAATAGCCTTTCAGTGAATAATCAAACAACATGTATTGATAAACCATTTACAATAGCAACTAGTGCAGGTGTTTTTTTTAAAGGAAGTGTAACACTAAGCTATACTAGCTCCTTTTTCATCTTTTCATAGTTCAAACTATTGTAAAGCAAGCAAAAGCAATGACTCAAATCAAATTTCAGGTCAGGTGAAAACTTTATCACCCCTCTTCACGTGACGATTAAATATATCGCTCAAATTTGAGTGAGGGTTTCCTTACGGCTAGTTGGCTACTGAAGCATCCTTCATGGCCCAAATTCGGGTAGGAAGACCTTCATCGCCCAACTTTGATCAATAAAATATCCTCGTCCACATTTGGGACCGGTTCTGTCCGACGCTTTGAAGTGTCGACCACACAGCGTGTCCGACACCTGCAAGAGTGTCGACCACAGCATGTCCCACGGCAAAGTACGACCAGTGTCCTATTGTGCCCCACACTTCCAGCCGTCGGACGTACTGTGGTCGCCACTTGCAGATGTCGGACACTTTGTGGGCGACACTTCAAAGCGTCGGACAAAACTGGTCGACACTTGCAAGCATGGGACAAACTGGTGTATGCCTACAAGCTTCGACTTGTCCTTACACTTGGATTTGCAGTGCGTCGCTGAAAAGAAACTTACCACGAATGTTACATATGTTTAACAGCAACGCGCATAGACTGCGCTCCGAAAAAGGTGACATGGACTGGTGAGATCGGGGATGCTTCAGTACCTCGCGGTCCAACGAAAGATCAGTCAGCCGTCCGAGAAATGCTTGCCTGCGAGAAGAATAGATTGACAACACTCAATGACAATTCAGGTGAAATCAAGAAACCCCAAATTCAGAAGAAAATCGCATTCCGCACCTGCTGATTGCCAGTGCTACCTGCAATACGTCCTCAGCATTGAAACTGAAGTGGAGCCCGGAAATGGCACAGGACGTGGTGATCAGGGCGCCCCAAAGGATGCTGTCCCAGCCAAAATCCTGCATGACCACGCTGCCCAGGCAGGGGGCGTGGCGCAGAACGTTGGCGGCAAGTACACGACTGAAAAGGAACAAAAATTAGAGGTCAGTTACTGATCACCATTCTTTAAACGGAAATTGGTTCTTTCTTTGAGAATGTACTCCCAAATGATCTCCTAAAAGATGAAAAATGTCCGACTTTGTTCGTGGGCTTAAGGTGAGGTGTGAGTGAAAATTTGTACCAAAGTTGATTAAAATGATAAATTTAATTCACTTGATATTTTAATGTACAATATTCTTCTATTGCCAACAGCATGTCTTAAAGGTCTGTGTTATGAACCCCTAAGTGAGTGCTGCATCTAACATGGCCTGATGTATGAATGAGCCTTTCTTGGTCACCCAACTCTTACGACAAGTGTCGAAGAAAAAATTTTCTACTCAGTCAACTAGCTACGCACAGTTTTGTTGACCATACTTCTTGGAGTAGTTCTTTGTGGTCTATGTAACAGAGAGATATTTCAAATTGCTTTCCAATTTCTTGAATCGTTTAACTTAAAGTAGTAAAAACTGGAGATATAAATTATATTTTCCAATTTAAAAGTTGTTAAATTTGCTCTGCCAAAACAAATAAATAAAATTCAAATGTATCTCTGTTACATTGAAGTATAGGGGTTTAGGTAGCTCCAAAACAAATTTCAGATCATTCCGTCAAAAAACTTTGTGTGGCTGATTTTCCTACTGAACACTTTATTTCATTGAAAAAAGCATACTGTGGCTGAATGGGTGGTTAGATTTGGATGAAATTTGGTTTGTCATAGTTTCCTACCTGGTGCTTAAACGTCCTAAAGTTTCGACCACCAAAGCCAATTGGTGGTATTGACCACCAAAGCCAACTGTGGCTTCGCATGAACATTGCAAAACAGTATCGAGCGTTTTGCGTCTAAGTTGACACCAAATCGGCGAATGCACTTTACAGTACAATTAAATGACTAAAAAATGTAAGCAAATGTGTATTTCACAAATTTAAATTAACTGCGCCACGGAGGCATCAGGCATACGCTGGCCAGCCGAAAGGGGCTCCCTTTCTATCACATAAGGTAAAAAATCAATTGTGGGTCACTTTCTGTGAAAAGTATTAATTTTGAAAAGGTAGCCAGTTAAAGTAGCTTTGACGCGTTGAAATATGATCGCTTGGCTACACTTTGCAGCATAGCAGCCCCGTCCATCGTCCTCACTTACTGATCTATGGCCGTTTTAAAAACAGGCTGTTTTGGGCCACAATTGATTTTTAGAACCAATTGTGGGTCAGCAATTTTCAAAGCTACCCGCGCGCCAAGCCTTGTTTAATTTTTGACAATAACTTGGGTTGACTTACATTGCTCAATCTGTTATACACCTACGAGAATTCAAGAAAAACGGCCAAAATGATACATCTTTTCTTATCAAGAAAAAAAACTTATGGTGGGCCGACCAAATCCTTTTGGGATTTTCGTTCAATGTGTGAGAGGATCATGTGAGGAAAGTCACATCGAAGTCGAAGATGAGCTACGTTGAAAACATCGATTTTTTTCGGAAAAAAATTACGTTAAATGGAGAAACCGACGTAAAGAACCGCTGTCGGAACAAATCTGAAAACTTTGAGTAAGTACGGAGAAAAATGAAGAAAATATTATGATTCTGGCCAAAGTGAAAACTTCGCTATGTTATTACAGCCAAACGGGGAGAGATATCGCAAAACCCTTTGACATTCGATCTTTTCATAATGACCCCTACCCCTAAAAAACCTTTCATCCAAATCGAAGAGATGAATTTCCAAGTGTTCGTTGGTTTGGCATGGAATCACCCTAAGGTGATCAGTGCAAGAAACTTACTCAAACAGTGTATTGATGCTCCTGTCCCGCCACAGCGAGGGGTCCATCGCCAGAGAGAGCCACCCGCGGCACACGGCGCGGCACCGAAACAGCTCCTCGGGACTGAGGTACCGCAGCACCAGGAGAAGCACCTCGTCGGTCAGCACGGCCGCCTCCGTCGCCTGCAGGGGTGGGGGAATGTTAAACTTTGGTTGCTAGGGGCAGGCACACCGCAAAGTGGGGTAACTTCGGCGTCCTGGGGAGATCTAAACGGCACTAAAACGCACACAGTAAATGTCTTGCGGGGAAAGGCTGCACCAACATATTATGGTGGAGATTTTCTCCATAATACCAACAAAATAAGGTACAGTGAGTTCTCAGCTGCACCACCATAATATGTAGAATCTTCACTGTAGACCATTTCGAGGGGTCCTATTAAAAAGATCTTATCTGGGCGCTCCTATTTAAAGAATCTTATCTGCAAAGCAAGCGAATTTCACCAAGTTTCATCATTTGAGGCAGCTACAAATCATAATAATTTGGGATTGTAGTCACACAAACTTGAAGATGAAAGATCGAAGGAACTAATAGCACGTGTAGAAAAATATGGCCCGCTTACCCTCATATCCGTCCCAAATGGTCAAACTTAGTGAAATATAGATATATAGTCTTTTTTGGTTTTTAACACCGTACGGTCTATGCTTAGGAATTCCGGAAATCTAGGCAATCCGGAATCATGTGTGCGCTTGAATTATGAGTGATGAACCTCCCGAAAATGCTCCACACTTGAAAGTGCAGAGTTTGCAGTCCGAATTCGGGCAGTCAAGAGTTAACACAAAATGATTCTGAGTTCTCCCTGTGATGTATGGGGGGGATACGTACCTCATTTCCAGCCCGGACACGCGTACTGCTGGAGTCTCCGCGTTCGTCTTCTGACAGCGACGGAACCGCCCGTCGCATGCTCTGGGCTGCAAACAGGAAAACAGGCCAAGTGAAACTTGGAGCTGAGCTCTAGCACTCTACAAACTGAAGTGTGTACTCAGTATGCATCTGTAGATGTGTACTCGATACTGGGCATTTCTATGGTGACAAGTACACACCTACTAATGCATACTTGCCAAGTATGCGACAGGTATGCATCTGTAGGTGTGTACTCATAAGTATGCATCTGTAGATGCACACTTCAGTTTGTAAGAGCACACCTCAAAACCCGTAAAAGATTTTAAGCAAATATTAAGTCCGAACTATGAACTAGATGAACACTAAGCGCATTCCTTATCGCGCCCGGTTTTCAGACATCCGAATAGCCAAATCACATGGAAGACTTTGAAAAAGGAAAAGCAATGATAGTTTCCTGCACTCTCATCCTTTAGTGGAGGATTTAAACGAGTCCATGGACCGGAAGTCAAAGAACAAAAGTAAGAACCAAAACGGCTTCTGAGCATGCGCAGACGTCTCCCCTCCTCTCTGAGGCAGCGTCTGCGCATGTTTGGTCTTACTTTTGTTCTTTGACTTCCGGTCCACACACTGAAAGTTTATGTACAATTTCGTACGTGGTGATGCATAATTTTAAACTTGTGTACCGTCGCGCATAAAATAATTGTGCGTGAATTTGCACAAATTTATTCATCTTTACGCATGATACTATGCAATTGTCACGTATGCACAAAATCGTGCAAGGTGCCAATTTTGGCTGTCGCTCTCCGAGGAGTGTCCCCTCATCTCTGACGCAGCCATCCGGGTTCTGCTGGCACCATTTGCGACCACCTACTTAGCAGTGTCGGCATTTTCAGATATGACCCACATTAAGGACAAACATCGGACCCGCCTTGATAGTGCGGGCTGTTACCGGAACAATCTGGCATATTATGATACAAGTGTGAAAATTTGTACACGTGTTCTTGGAACCACAAGGAACGATTCTGCCCGAGGTACCAATGTGAAATCTTACTCTGAGGGGTGGTTCACCCCCTTTAAAAATGTCGCCGTTTTTTAAGGTTTTCGGGCTCCGGAACGCTCCTCCTGGTACCCAAGTGCGTTTAATATTGCTTACTAATGACTTGGAGTACTGCAGCACCGTCGCGCTCCGTGTTCTACCAATCCTCCCCTCCCAAGGGGTGGTTTACCCCCTAAAATAGCTGTTTCTCCACTGATCCCTAATATTGGCATGCGAGGTGTCGTTTCCATATAATCCATATAATTTCATGTCGGGGAATCGAAATTCGAGGTCCAGAAAGCCGTATCTATGAATTTTCACGTGTAGCGACCGCACTATGAGGTGGAGAGTGACCTACGGGTGGCGGTGACGAGGAATACTGCCCGCGCATCTCCAAGATAGTCTCCTAAGTCAGGCGCGGATCCAAGGGGGGCGACGCCCCCTGAAAGGTAGGCAAAAAGTCGCACATTACCCCTGTAGGTAGGCAACTTTCGCGACATCGCCCCCCCTGAACCCGTCCCTGGATCCGCCCTTGTCCTAAGTGTAGGCCAAAGGCAGCCACTGATTGTACCTGTTATCCCAATAAACCCGATACGGTAATGTCTATGTTTCTTTTCCAGAAGTTTTCTTAAATTTTTATTTAAAAAAAGGGCTTGTTATATTTTTTAAAGGGGGGGGGGGATTTTGGACCACAAATTTGGGGTCACGAGCCGAAAAAGGTTGAGAACCGCTGGCCTACATAACTTATGCATTGTTTTTGATGTATACATCCCACGTACGCAGCATTAGCTGTATACATGGCATGCATGCAGCACTAACTGCATACTATGTGTACTGTTCAGCTGACAGAGTATGCTCACTAATGTGCCCGAACGTTATACGATATTGAAGGAAATCGCGGTGTGAGTCAGAGAAATTGCAGTACGTTAGGTTTTCAAAAACCCGAAATAGTAATATATGAACGTTTCTCAAACTCATTCCGAACCGACCACAGGCCATTTTGACGAATCCTTGGGCCGAAAGTCAAAGAACAAAAGTATATCCTGAAACTGCTTCAGCGCAGACGCTGGTTCGTGAGCGTGAGACGCTGTCGGTAGCACTAAAATTCAACGAATTTGACGTCATATACGTCAGAATGAGAAGTTTGTCTCATTAGTTTGAATGTTAGTACGCGTTCAGACGAATGTGACATCCCAATAGAACACCCGTGTCACGGTCGAACAAAATGTGACATCGCTTAAACGAACCTGCCACAATTCACATTCAAACGAATATGACGTCACGTTCGTAGGAGGAAAGTGAGGGCTCCAGTCTATACATGTGCGGCTTCCTTTCGTGTTTTGACTTCCGGACCAGGGATTCGTTAAAAAAAAAACGTCCACTGTGGCATAACGGAGCTTTTTATCTTACACTCTCACACTCGTACTGAGTTTCTCTTTGATAATGTATAGACGTTTGTGCACATTAGAGCATATTAATTCTTACTTGTTTTTCATTTCCGACTTTCATTATGACTCATAAACTATGTAATCAAGTTCGTCTCGACAAATCTGTGAAACGAAATCCCATAGGGAACCCCTGGGCCGTCAGTGAAAGATCAAAAGTAAGAACTACAACCGTCAACTCAGAGTGGAGAAGGTATGTCTGCGCATGCGCAGAAGCCGTTGTAGTTCTTACTTCTATTTTTTCACTTCCGGCCCAGAGTTTTTTAAAATATTCTGTTAATGCGCACAAACGTTAATAAACGTTAATAAACGTCAATAAAATGTCCATTGAAGGATGAAAGAGTACTTCCGGTCCCCTAGATGCGCAGCAGTACCCCAACTTCCAAAGGAAATACCGTCTAGTGGGAGTGCCTTGAAATATCACTAAAACAAAAGCCTGTTCTCACCTTTGTAGCCTTGGGACAGCGATTCCATTATCTTCGACTTAGTGGGTCCGTTCTGGGTTTCACCTCTGGAGTAAAATAATCAGCTGCAGGACAACTTCAGCCTCAGCGAACCGAATGCAATCCGCGCCGCGACACGAGTCCCAACTCAGACAGACTTGCGGGCACGTTGAAGTCTGCCTGTCCTCTGCCGGCCCCCTGGACGAAGAACTGCTGCGTCTGTCTGCGTAGGTTGCGCGTCGAGTGGAGTCTAGACCGCGCAGGCAGGGCGACGGCGTAGAACAAACCTTGCGGCCGGCAAGCGGCGGTGTGCTTGGCCCGACAACAATGGACACACCTCGTTGGGTAAAGAAGAAGAACAAAGCGGGGTCGCGTTGCGTGGCGCGGCGAAACAAAGTGGAGTGCAGTGGGGGCCGCGCGGCCGCGAGGAGAGTCGTCCAACAATGGAGGTTTCCGAAGGAGCTCCCTGCCCCGAAGTCGAAATGGCAACGAAAGTTGCCAATATTAGTCGTTCAGAGATATGCACGCGGCGGATGAGGCTGAAAGATTCCATAGCTCATCCGCAGTGCATATGTTTTATGTCTTGTACAGACTGCCATTTCTGACTTTCATTTCCTCCCGTGCCAGAGCTTCTTTGCAACCGCAAAGATTACTTCGGACGAGAGCAAGATCGGGAAGTGAGAGGATATAAAGAGGGTTAAGGGGGCAGTCGCGTCCCTGTACCCTTTTTAGGGGGGTTTTCCCCCCTCTTTTGATGACGATGATTTTTTAAATATACCTCTTAGAGACAAACGGTAAAAACCAAATGAAAGAACGGAATTTTTACAACATTTTCAAAAAAAAAATTGTTTTGTCTTCAGTTGTAAGGGAGGTGTAGGGAATGCACCAAAAGCCGACAAAACATACAAAATTTCACTGCGCGACATTTTACTCCGGAAGTTCTGAACTTTTTGGCAATCGGTTTGCGGCATCTTGAAGATGAAAAAATCCTCTTTACTTTAACCTACAATCGTCCATATAGCCCAAGGATTACACTTTTTTTTTAAAACGTAACCAAAAACCTATACAAACTTAGGAACGGTTTTAATTTAGGTTTTCCTTGGGCTAGATGGACGATCGTTGGTTGAAGTAAAGAGGATTTTTTCATCTTCAAGATGCCGCAAACCGATTGCCAAAAAGTTAAGAACTTCCGGAGAAAATTGTCGCGCAGTGAAATTTTGTATGTTTCGTCGGCTTTTGTTGCATTCCCTAAAACTCCCTTACAACTAAAGACAAAACAAAATATTTTTTTTTGAAAATGTTGTCAAAATTCCGTTCTTTTATTTTGTTTTTACCGTTTGTCTCTAAGAGGTATATTTAAAAAATCATCGTCATCAAAAGAGGGAGGGAAAACCCCCCTAAAAAAGGGTACAGGGACGAGACTGCACTGTTAAAAATGTTATGAATTTTCATTACAAATATGCATTGAAAATTCATGAACGCCATTAAATTTCATAGCGGCCATAAAATTTCATAAATATAATGAAATGTCAGAACACATTTCATGAAACGTTATAATATCTCCTTGAAAAATCAAGTCTGCAATGAATCGTCAAGAGATTTGATGAAAAGTCAAAACGTGAAACTACAAATTTAGTGTGGTTCTGAAAATTCATAACCAAGATATAAAATTTCATGTCGGTCTTTGACTTGTGATGGGCAGGTTTTGATGGCTCTTACATTGCCCGGGTGGAAGAAACTTCAGGTTTGACTGAGTTTGAACCTGATCGTGATTCGGAATATTCCTATGCTCTTCCCTGAGTAAATGTAGCGTGATAATATAAGTAGTAAATCAAACGTCGCACCAAAAAAGAATTTTAGTATCATTTAACGCAAACTGTGGTCAATCCACTGTTCACATGGTGCGGCCGGTCAGCCACCTGGGCTCAAAGTCAGGTTACAAGAAGCTGCCGCTAGGTGGCGCTCGGAGTGCCGTGTTCGTTCACTTGTAAGTTTTGCCTATTCATTTAAGTAAAATCAAGTTCAGTTCCAGGACAATACTGTCAGAGCAGATCCAAGACAATAATACTTGTCAAAGCAGATCCGAGACAATCCTAACTCTTAGTGTCAATTCAAAACTATTTCAACTTCACATGGCGTGAAAAGCGGTCTTTTCTCAAAGTCCGTGACGCCCCGGTGGTAAGGAATGTCTGGGATCACGGTCTGGCAGTAAGGATTATTCTACTGGGAAGCGTGTACTTTATTTACCACACATTGGTTAACTCCGCAACTTTCACGTGCTACCGAAAAAAAGAGCTTCCGTTCGGAGGAATTAACACGGGGTCCGGGGTCCTCTCCTGATGGTGCTGAGATAAACGACCGCTATTCCTAGCGAGTGGCATGTCCTACTCGGTTCACATCTGCGTCATACCTGTGCGTGAAAGGACTACCGGATGTTTTCAGTCTCCGGAAAATTTCATTCATGATGCTTTGGTTTGAAGTTTTGATTGATATTGTGGTCTTGACCTACTTCGTTTCCATTGCCGGGAGCACCGCCATCCACTCATTTGCCGTTAAGTGTCAATGGGCTCCCCACTGGATATAGGGCCATTCCATGCCGGACCACCGAACCCCTGAAAAGACCTGTCCTAGATTTCTCTTATTTCAAAGTTTGCACGGAAAGTTCGGGTGCACAAAAAACTGTGATGTCTCGTACAACATTGTACACAACACTTAGTGTGTGAATATGAATGAAAATCAAGGGGCAAACAACTTGAATTTTGGTGTACATGTTCCTTGATATAACGGTGAAATAACGGTAAAAAAACGTTGAAATAGCGGTGAAGTAACGCGACATAAAGTTGAAATACCCTTGAAATAACGTTGAAATTACAATGAAATAACGTGAATTTGAAGGGTGCAAATATTGACGAAGTTGTTTGCCCCTCGATGAAAATCAATTAAATAAGAAGAAAAGAGTCATGTCTCCATTTTTGAATGCATCGCGCATTGCAGTACAGGGAGCCAAGTTTGAAGATAACGACTAAAATTTCAACGTAATAACCACTATTAGTATGAACCTACGATTAATGGGCAGGTAATAGAATAGGCAGGGATTTTGTATTTCTGAAAAGCGAATGGCGTGTTGTGCTTCAAATAGGCGACCGGCGGTTCTAGACTAATTCGACCCCGCTGAACACGAATCGCCCCGGCCATAGGCATAATCACAAGGGGCCTAAATGCCAAGATGGCGTCCGAAACCGTAAAAAAAATCGCTCTCAACGTCACATTTTGATCATTTTAACGTTAATTTGCAGATGCTGTGATTGATCATGGTGTTCCCTGGGCTTGATATACCAGATTATAAGTTTGCATGACCTGCCTTTACATAAACTGCGGGTCAACAGGTCAGGGTAACGTCCGAAAACCTCCAAAAATCGCTCTAAAGTGCCCTTTTTTCCTAGTGTAGATTGTTCGTCATATGCTGTGCTTGTTCGGAAGAAGAAGAACCAAAACGGAAGTCAGAAATGACAGTTGCTATGAGAAACATACGCCGTTCGCTTCGATTTGGGGAGCCTTTACCAGAAATGCTTCCCTAACTATTACAATACCTTTATAAATTGTACATCCATTAGGATACGGCCCGGACTGTGTTTTGTTGACCGGGTGTGCACCCCGTTGCTTAAAACAAATTCTAATTTCGAACATTGTTCAACCATTTACAGGGTCCGTACATTTGCCACTTTGACCGTTTCGGAGACTGTCCGGGGATGTTGCCAGGCAAGCACGACACTCGGCACATTCGCTTGAGTCACTACAACCCGCGCCAGCCTTTCCTCAAACAGAACATGACGGGCAACATAACGCTGGTCGAGGATTTGTACGATGCCGATGCTTGTTGGGTAAGACCAGACTTGTGTGCTTCGACGTCTCCTCAAAGAACAAGGTAGGTGTACGCCAGACAGTGGCTTGTCGTAACAAGCTTCGCGATGCTGCTCCAGTTACGACGATCCACGCCTGCCTGGCGTTACCTACTTTGGCCTGCGGCGCTGGCCTGCCTTCGGCAGACTCCCTCGCCACACATCACCACACTCTTAAAACCTTACGAAGAATTTTGAGCATACACATAACAAAATAATATATTTTGTTATACGAATAAATACGTTATAAATTACGAAGTATTTTCTTTGTAAGCTTATGTATGCTCAAAAATACTTTGGTATACGAACTACTTTTCTTTGTAAGGCCCAAAATAGTTTCGAAGGTTTCCTCAGTGCGTACAGACAGACCTATCCTTAGTGCACATGTCGTGAAATGCTCCCTCTTCAAAGCCCGTGACACCTCCTTGATAGGGTGTTTCTGTTTCGTTTGGTACAAATACATAGGTAAGGGCTGGCACGGGGGATCACTAACAGCAAGTGGACTACTCTATAAACTAAAGTGTGTACATAGCATGCTTCGTTGAAGCATACCTGCAAGTACACTTCACCTGGAGCCAACCTGGCAAGTACACGCCACGTTGAAGCGTGCTTGCAAAGGACACGCCAGGTCTGCAAGTACACTGTTGCTGCGCTTCATGAGAAAGGTTGGGGCCACCAGCAACAGTGTGAGTGCAGGTGTGCGTCACCTGCACTCTCAGCTCCTTGTTGACTTTTCATCTCTTACGTAATATGTACTATTGTCTCTTGAGCTTTGCCCGATTTTGTTCATAATATAGGGTATTTAGTCCATGAAACCTGACTTTTTGTCATTTGCAATGCACTTTTAAATTTCTACATGGTCTATTGTCAATTTTATTTTATCAAAAGAGATAGAAATTGTGCATAGTTTAAGGTGAGGTGTGGGTGGTAAATTAAATTCACTTATTTTAATGTACAATATTCGTCTATTACTGACAGCATGTCCTATAGGTCTGTGTTATGAACAACTAAGCGAGTGGTGCATCTAACATGGGCTGATGTGCATGCGCCTTTTCTGGTCACCCAAGTCTTACGACAAGTGTCGAAGAAATTGTTTTTCTACTCCGTCAACTAGCCACGCATACAGTTTTGTTTTATACTGACCATACTTCTTAGAATAGTTCTTTGTGGCCTATGTAACAATGAAACGGAGATAGATTTCAAATAGATATCCACTTTCTTAGGGGTTACCCCAGCAGGTATACAGTCCCACCAGGTATAATCCCAACAGGTATAATCCCAACAGGTATAATTCCCTCCAGGTATAATTCCCACCAGATATACACTATTTAATTTTAATGTTATTTACACGGATTCCCAACAAGTATAAATCCCAGCAGATATACACCCATTTTATTTACCTTCTTTGGAATTAATTTGCACGGCACGCTAGTTGAACAGCGCCTCTCTGTTTCTAAAGTCGAGAAGCCCCAGGTAGATTTTCTTCTCATCTAATGGCCGAATTTGCAACGTCTATTGGACCTTTATTCGTTTTCCTTTAGAAGACGTCTGCAAACAGACAAACATTGGACGAACCTAGTGTTGCCCCTGTAAACAGTAGCGCAACTTGAAGGACGATTGAAACGCGAGTTGCGTACCCGCTTGCGAAGGCAGTTTCACTGGGAGTGCAATTCCTGCAGGGAATGCGCTCGAGTCGAAGCTGTCATCATGCCCATTTGTAATCAAGCATTTAGTTGTTTTTCTTCTAATGTATTCCTGGTGAGAATTATACCTATTGGTATGTATACCTGGTGGGAATTATACTTGCGGAGACACAAAAAAATCTAATATTAATACGTGTATATCTGGTGGGATTTATACTTGCTGGGAATCCGCGTGTAGATAAATAAAATAAAATAGTGTATATCTATTGGGAATTATACCTGGTGGGATTATACCTGGTGGGACTGTATACCTGCTGACATCACCTCCTTTCTTAAATAGTTAAACTTTAAGTGGTAAAAACGGAGAAAAAAACTTATTTTTTCCAATTAAAAGATTGTAAAGTTTGCTCTGTCCCAACAAAATAAAATAATATTCAAATATCTCTCTTTTACATTGAAGTATAGGGGTCTAGGTAACTCCAAAACAAATTTCGGATCATTCCGTCGAAAAACTTTGCGTGGCTGATTTTCCTACTAAATGCTTAATTTCAATGAAAAAAGCCTACTGTGGCTGGATGGGTCTGTAGATTTGGATGAAATTTGGTTTGTAATAGTTTCCTACCTAGTACTTCAACGCCTCAAAGTTTCAACCATCACAGCCAATTGGTACAGAAGTTTTCATTTTCACCCACACCTCACCTTAAGAGAAAATAAAACAGCCTGCTTAAAAAACATTATTAGCTAGAGAAAAAAAGTTCCGCCAAGGCAAGCTTAGCAAAGCGGTCTTGCCGTGGACCGGCCGGGGAGGCCGGGCAGAGAGGGGGCAAGGAGGGTGGGGGTGGCTGTGAGGAGTGGGGACTGGCGCGGCGAGGCGGCGCGGCGTGGCGGCGCAGGACGACGACAGACGACGACGACGACCAACACGACCATGCAGTCCCCTCCGAGCCCGAGCGCGCTGAATGGATGGATGGGTGGATGGGATGGGATGAGTGGGATCGGATGCAGAGCTAGAAGCGGTAGCAAGACCGCTTAAGGGGGGGTTCTGGTGAAAATGCTATTTTCTCCTAAATAGGTCCCACTGTGAAAATTTGTTAAAAATTTGATGTCTTATCAAGTTTTTATCCAAATTTTCCATTGGGGAGGCACATTCTATGCCCTGAACCTAGTCGCAGAGCCTTTTTCTCCCATTTAGGCTATAACTTTAAAAATCTTCTTGCGCATACTATTTTGTCCTAAAAGGTTGGCTTAGACATTTTTCACTTCTTCGATTCATTTTTTAAAGATGCCGGCATGCACATCTCAAAATGTCAGTTGCATTTTTATTCACAAGCTTTCTAACCAAGCATTTCACTACAATTGATCAGAAATGTACAAAATAGACAAATATTAGGGACTTTTCAGCTTAAAAAGCTAATAATTAATAATGTAATGGAAGTTTTGAGCTATGCATGCCGGAATTTTTTGAAAATGAATCGAAGAAGTGAAAAATGTCAAGGTCAACCTTTTACGACAAAATAGTATGCGCAAGGAGATTTTTGAAGATACAGCCAAAATAGGCTCAAAAAGACTCTTTGACTGGGTTTACAGCCAGGCATGTGCCTTCAAATGTCAAATTTTAGTCTCTTCAATGAATAATTTTACATTCCGAACAAATTATGGCAGTGGGATCCATTTGGAAAATGGCAAGATTTTCACCAGAACCTCCCCTTAAAAAGGCCATGGGTCTGAGAGTGTGGCTTGTACTTGGCGAGCATGCTCCAACGTGGAGCTTACATGCCAGGTTGGCTCGCGGAGGTACTTGCAGGCATGCTATGTACACACTTGAGTTTGTACAGTGGCGGTTAGGATTGTGTTCGGTCAGCGCTAACATTAACAATTGATCCAGGAAGCGGAAGAAGGAAATAATTCGACTTATCTCCAAATTGTGTTTTATCTTATTATTGTGCCTCAGGATGGTTTGCATCATCACACCAAATTGTCTGACCCAATTCCTAACAGGCCAGAAGAAAATCCACATGAAAAATGGATATAACTCGACTTGACCCCTTTCACGGTCTAAATTTCACCGGAAAAGTGAGGTAATTCAACCGAAGCCCACATATCTCCATTGCACAAAATGGCAAAGGGAGGTAACTCAACGTGTCTTTATGAATCTAATGTAAAAAGAATCAACTCAACTCCTCATCACTAGTTGGATAAAAGAGGTAACTAAAAAAAATGTACCACAGAAATACAGACTCTACACGGACCTCAGCTCCACTTACATTGTCTCCAAATTCGGCCTTGTTTGGGAGAATTAAGTAAACATGGTTCCGTAGTCCATTCCAACGTAATGATTTAAATTACAGAAACCGTCTACAGAGGGCTGCTACACTTTTGAAAATTTTCACAGTTATATTTTAGGCTTTCTTGACAAAAATGCAATAGGATCATTCATCTGATTGGATTAAGTTTACTATGCAAACAGTTTTTCGTTTCTCCTGAAAAATGATGAAAATTGAGTCATCCCCTTCTTCCGCTTCATGGATCAATTGAGAACTGACTGCCCTTACAGTCTCAGCTCGTACGGCGTTTTACTAGTTTGCACAACTTAGATGCAGTACAGTTGTTTTGCTACGAGGCTAGCTTAAGAAAATGATGATAAGTATAGTTTCTTCTTCAGACGAGTGTCAGTTTAGACTTACGGTCTAACAACCAGTGGAAAAATAACTACTTCGTCTTCAATGGATCAAGGGTGAACTGCTCAGGCTATCGACGACACGCACCAGACTACTTTCGAGTCATGTTCAAGCAGGACCCTAACAGAAAGGGGCCATGTTTCGTAAAAGCGGTAGGTAATCAAACGGTCTTATTAACACTCACTGACATGATTGCTTGCAAGTACCTACACACTTGCAAAGGCATGCCTGGCAAGTGCACTCTTACAAATGCAAATGCGTAGCATGGGGTTAAACGGCGTCAAGCATGCAATTTTAGGTGTGCGTTCCAAAGCATGCGTTCTCTGCAAACTCTAAAGCGTACCCAGTACACTTTCTTCCGTGTTCTCATGAGTACACTCTCCTCAGCTTGTAAGGTAGGGTGGAGGCAGTTCGCAACAGAGGCAGTTTGTAACAAACACCAAAATTTAAGCGATGAGGGCTTCCGAAGGAAATAGGATTGTGCACTATCTTCTATTTTCATGATTTTACTGATGTGCAACCAAAACGGTCGTCACCGGTGCACTTAAGTGGATGAAAAGGAGGTGAAACTGCGCTATCATTGAAATCGACCCAAACTTGAATATCTAGGTTACGGGAGTTTCCGTCTGGGTGTCTCATCCCCCGCGCACTTGTTTCATCTTGTAGTACCATACGAGACGAGCGTAACGCACCCGCGGACAGTGGTGAAGCCCTCAACAAGCCCGGTGGGGAGCAGCATAAGTGGAATGGTGCTCTGGGGCAGTTTGTAACACAACAAAATCACTAAAAAAACGTTTTAAAATGTGGACAGATTGCATAATGATGAGCGTAGAACCTAGTTTGTAATTCTTGAACGCACCTATGTGAACTAGACCGGCTCAAATTTCCCGAAGGTTCGAAATGTCGATGCGCGGAAACGGAATTCGGTTCCTTTCCGAATTCTAAGACTCTGAGCATTTTTTGGGATTTTTGAGGTCACCGGAAGTGGTCCCGCACGGCAGGGTAAGTTAGGCGCACTGCTAATACATAGACCAGCAGTAAAGCGGCTTTAATATTCATTTTACGGGCATATTCCATGAAACAAAAGTTGTCAGAAATGGTCAAATTAATTAAAAATATGAAATGTATGATTTCCAAAACTCAAAATTTGCAATCTGGGTGCCTATCTGTAAGGGGTAACTGGCGTCTATTTTAGCTCGGAGCCTCAAAATGAAGTGGATCAAGGCGTAAAACTGTTCGACAGTCGATTTGGCCCTTCTGGTGGTGCTATTTTTAGTGCCCAATCCTCTTCTGGTCCAACGGATTAATTGGGGGCCTTAACGAGTATTGTCTTGTTTGCGTTTGGGCGCCAGGATTGTGGCTAAGCTCGGTTTCTTCTCGTTTTACTCTGTGATTTCCGAAGATTCGATACCTGACATAGTATTAGCGCGGAAACTAGGAAAAAGCCACACTGCGAAGGGCTGGAGCGTGGTGATCCGGGGCACTGCGAGGAAAGTCTTCAAAACCGAAGGCAAGACTGTTTGTTTTTGAGTGTGGGATGGGAGAGTCACGTAAGTGTCGTTTCATATTAAAGCTAGTATACATCTATTGGAGCAATTCGTCAATCACACTAAATTACTATGTAGGTTTTTCTGCGCGCTAATGCACGAAATTGTACATGCACTTCGTAACGCACGAATTTGTGCGCGACAATGCACGATTTCCTGCATACTTGCGCACGAAATCGTGCATTGTCGCGCACAAATTCGTGCGTTACGAAGTGCATGTACAATTTCGTGCATTAGCGCGCAGAAAAACCTACATAGTAATTTAGTGTGATGAACACTGCTCTACCTGGGAGTAAGGTGTGAGCTCAGGAACAGTCTGCCACATCAAAATTTGAGACTTCCATATCAGTACGTAAAGAGTAACGCGCCAAGCGAGTTTTTACGACGGTTTTTGATGAGAAGGGTAACGAAAAGCTCGTCCTATTCTGAATCTTCTTGGCAAAGTCATCAGAATACGCACTCTTCGGAGTGTAGTACTCAATGCAACACACTTACAATAGAAAGCACTCAGTTGTGCCGTGGGAGTATACTCAAATGAGTTCAGGCTCGTGGCGATCAATCTATTAATCGAAATAAAAGCTTCCGAGTAGGATGAATCTCTAAGACTAAAGGAAGCTCTCGCGAAATGGGTTTTGACCTGGTCCATGCGAATGTGCATTGGTGAAGCAAAGTTATCAAATCGCTTACTTTCATCACAACATTTCAGTAAAGATCGGTTGGAGATAGGGAATGGTGAAGCACAATGAAAGTAATCTTGTTCAGAATTGTATTTTAGACTTCAAAGGCTAAAGGCCTGTCCGTCCGGAGTTGTCTTCTCCGTTCTCGCGCTTTTAATATCTCCGCGATTGAATATTCCAAAAGCACCGAGTAAAACAAAAAGAAAACGAGCTATTAGCCACAAACCGGGCGCCCAAGCGCAAACAGGACAATATTCTCAAAGGCCCCCAAATATTCCGTTATACCAGAAGAAGATTGGGCACTCAAAATAGCACCACCAGAAGGGTCAAATTGATTGTCGAACAGTTTTACGCCTTAATCCACTTCATTTTGAGGTTCCGAGCTAAAATAGGCGCCAGTTACCCCTCACAGGTAGGCACCCAGATTGCAAATTTTGAGTTTTGGAAATCAGACATTTCATATTTTTATTAATTTGACCATTTCTGACAACTTTTGTTTCATGGAATATGCCCGTAAAATGAATATTAAGGCCGCTTTACTGCTGGTCTACGAATTAGCAGTGCGCCTAACTTACCCTGCCGTGCGGGACCACTTCCGGTGACCTCAAAAATCCCCAAAAATTCCCAGAGTCTTAGAATCCGGAAAGGAACCGAATTCCGTTTCCGCGCATCGACATTTCGAACCTTCGGGAAATTTGAGCCGGTCTAATGTGAACTTTTCATGTTTGACCCATGACTAGCATTAAAATGCAACATTTGTAGACCGTTGTTCGTTGTAAACTTTGGGGGCGGAAACAGGTCTTCATTTCAATTCATCAGTAATGTTTGTTAACAACTTTCGTTCGTCTCTCTGCGCCAAGTCCATCACTGTTCAAAAATGTCTGAAAATTCAGACTTAATATTATAAAGCAGATTTTAATTAAGTTGGTCTGAATATTCAGAGTGAGAAGCTCCAGACAAAAAAAACACTTGGTCGGCGACATCCTAGGAGCGGGCGCTTGTGGTGTTTAATCGGTTCCTTGAATGTATACGAACTGCCGAAAAGACACTTGGACGAAATCCGACACCCCCTGTGGCTTTGGTACGGGTCTAAACACCTCAAAAACAGCTGTTTTCGAGGGTTTGGGACTAGATGGGTTCTCGCAAACCGAGATCCTAAAAAGTACCCAAATGGGTCTCAGATACTCAAAAAAATGCGCTCTTTCGAATGCCGTGTCGAACGAGGCTCTACGACGTCGGGTTTGGATGCTACGGACTCTCAAAGTTGCTCAATTTCACTATTTTTACTGAAGATTTGAGCATATCAGGGCCGTTTGAAGTAGACCATCGGCGATTTCGCTCCCCTTTGTCTTAAATAGTGCCTACCCATAGGTAAACATCCCCACAAAATTTCAGCCATGTCAGGCAATTATTAGAGGAACTGTGAACAATTTAACTTTTGGGTCATTTTACCACTGGGCTTAGGTGGTTTTGGGTCCAGAAAAAATAATTTTTTAGCTATCTACTTTTGATCAGCACCTCTTGAAACGCCTTTTTAACATGGTGCCTCAAAACTTTTTTTCGAGGACAAACTTGTCTTATGTTCCAATTATTACAGCTAGAAAAAGGCCCTGGTCCGAAAAAAAATTTGAGGCACCATGTTAAAAAGGCGTTTCAAGAGGTGCTGATCAAAAGTAGATAGCTAAAAAATTATTTTTTTCTGGACCCAAAACCACCTAAGCCCAGTGGTAAAATGACCCAAAAGTTAAATTGTTCACAGTTCCTCTAATAATTGCCTGACATGGCTGAAATTTTGTGGGGATGTTTACCTATGGGTAGGCACTATTTAAGACAAAGAGGAGCGAAATCGCCGATGGTCTACTTCAAACGGCCCTGATAAGCTCAAATCTTCAGTAAAAATAGTGAAATTGAGCAACTTTGAGAGTCCGTAGCATCCAAACCCGACGTCGTAGAGCCTCGTTCGACACAGCATTCGAAAGAGCGCATTTTTTTGAGTATCTGAGACCCATTTGGGTACTTTTTAGGATCTCGGTTTGCGAGAACCCATCTAGTCCCAAACCCTCGAAAACAGCTGTTTTTGAGGTGTTTAGACCCGTACCAAAGCCACAGGGGGTGTCGGATTTCGTCCAAGTGTCTTTTCGGCAGTTCGTATACATACAAGGAACCGATTAAACACCACAAGCGCCCGCTCCTAGGATGTCGCCGACCAAGTGTTTTTTTTTGTCTGGAGCTTCTCAGTAAGAATTATGACCGTCGATCCGGTGTCGCACAGTTTTCTCTGTACATGGGAGTCTTTCTTTTAGGTAATTTATGATGAACCGACTTCACCCTCTTGCAGGGGACTTACGCGGTGGACAACGAGCCAGTGAACTGGGTGTTCCCGAAGTATCCTGTTCTCCCCTACGGCCACTACCGCCTCCGAGTAGTAGGCGGGATGAACAGCCGCCTGACCAGCTGCTATCATTCAGAACTACACATTTTGCCGAAACCCTCCAGCCGTTGACATCCACCGCATATGCTCAGTCATGGTGCACTGACCTGAAGGAGATTCCCCTCAGACGGGGAAGGGGGAGAGGGGAACGAAACACGTAAATCATTTTCACTTCCATTTTCCACATTTCGCTGTGCTCATACTCCAAAAGGGTTCCAATCATTCTAGAATGCTGAAACACTAAGGCCGATCTCATTTCCAAACCGTTCTGATCTTTATTTTGTTGAATTTGCTGGTTTGCTTGTGTCCCGTATTTGAGAGCCGCGGCCGCAGGTATGGGAAATTGGTAACTGCTGCCAACCTAACCATGCTAAGAAACTGATTAATAAAACAGTTTTGAATATTTGAAACGATACTAAACGACGATTTGAAACAAACTCGTGTTGAGCGGAAGTAAGACGAGGTTAAATGTGACGTATGGAAACTTTATGTGTTAT